CAGATCTCAACGGCCATGTAGGGGAACGACGAGGTAGTGCAGGAAAGTGTCATGGAGATCACGGGTACGGGTCACGCAATGAAGGAGGCGAACGCATTCTCGAGTTTGCGACTACTCATGACTTGGCGTTAATGATTACCTATTTCATAAAGAGAAATAATCATCTGATTACGTACGCCAGCGGAGGTCAAAAATCGCAGATAGACTTTTGGAGCGTTCGACAAGACGATCTTAGATACGTGAAGGATAGCAAGGTGATCCCTGGCGAAGAATGCATTCCGCAGCATAGACCCCTTCTGCTAGATTTGTTTATTCCAATCGACAAGAAAAGAAGAATGGTGACAGAGCACAGAACACGTATAAAATGGTGGAAGCTGAAGAATGATATCTGCACCAAGGCGGCAATGAAAGCTGCCCTACCGAGATTGGAAAGTAGTCCAGAATTCTCCTGGACAGTCCTGAAAAACAACATTCATCAGGTAGCCAGCGAGCTAGTGGGTCATACCAAAGCCGGAAGACCAAAGCTTGATAAGGAAGTCTGGTGGTGGAATGAAGACGTACAGGTCGTGATAAAGAGAAAGAAAACAGCATACAGGATTTGGCAGAAATTACAAACGGAAGATGCTCATCAGTTGTACTTGGACGCGAAACGCGCAGCAAAGAGGAGTGTTAAAAAGGCAAAAGAAGCGTATGTAGAAGAACTTTACAGGAAACTGCGCAATGGCGAAGGCGAACGGGACATATATCGAATCGCGAAAAGAAGAAGATATAGAGCATATAGATATATATGCTCAAAAGATATAGAGCATTTTTACAGTATCAAGGACGTACATGGCAAACTACTCAGGAAGCCACAAGAAATTAAGGAAAGATGGAGAACACATTTCGAAGGAATAGCATCTGCGAGCCATGAGTACGCATCTACTCTAGAAGCCGATCCTGTGCTTGGACCAGTACCCAGCATCACAGAGGAAGAAGTTCGCTTCGCCATAATGAAAACAAAAAACGGCAAGGCGACAGGCCCAGACGATGTCCCCAACGAATTTTGGAAGGAATGCGGACAAGCTGGAGTGACTTGGCTCACGCAACTTCTGAATCAGATTGTAGATGCAAAAAACATGCCAAGCGACTGGTACAAAAGCACAACGGTACCTATATGGAAGAACAAAGGCGACGTAGCTGACTGTTCGACGTATCGGCCTATCCGACTCATGTGCCACACACTAAAGATCTTTGAAAGAATTTTGGAAACGCGACTGCGAAACATCGTGGACCTGCCCCTAACCAGTGCGGATTCGTGAAGGGATACAGCACGACAGATGCTATCCACACTGTAAGGATAATGATGGAAAGAAGTAGGGAAAGGCGATGCGAATTGCATGCAGCGTTCCTTGACTTGGAAAAAGCGTTTGATAAGGTACCACATGACGTTATATGGTGGTCGTTACGAAAGCACATGGTGCCAGAAGAATATGTGCAGTGGATTAGAATGATATACAAAAACGCCACTAGCTACGTGCAAACAGCAGCAGGTCCTTCAGAAGAATTCCAAATAAACGCTGGAGTTCACCAAGGTTCCGTGCTGTCACCCTTTCTCTTCATCACGGTCGTGGACACGATAGTGAGAAGCTTCATACGTAACCCTCCTTGGGCTCTGATATACGCAGACGACGTGTTGCTGATGGCAAGAAGCAGAAATGAATTGGAAGAGGAAGTGCAAAAGTGGAAGAGTGAACTAGAACTGCACGGTCTGAAGATTAATATCACAAAGACAGAGTACATGGAGCTGGGAGCTCAAACGCCAGGGACTATTCAGATCGGAAGTATCCCAGTTAAAAAGACCACCACATACAAGTATCTGGGAAGTCACATATCCGCAGATGGCACGCTCCAGGACGAGATCACCTTCAGGATTAATTCAGCTTGATCGAAATGGAAGAACATTACCGGAATCCTATGCGATAAAAGGATGCCAATCAAGCTGAAATCCCAGTTATACCGTACTGTAGTCCGCCCGGTTGTTCTATACGGCAGCGAATGTTGGGCCTGTACGCGGAATGAAGAGCGAAGGGTTAGCGTGATGGAAACTCGCATGCTGAGATGGACGACAGGTGTGACTATAATGGATCATGTCACCAATGATACCATAAGGTCCACAATGAAAGTCGCGCCAATCGTGAAGAAAATACAGGAGAAGCGACTTCGTTGGTACGGACATGTAAGAAGAAAGGAAGATGATCATGTCGCTAGATTAGCAATGTCTGTGGAAGTCCCCGGAAAAAGACTCAGAGGAAGACCGAAGCTAAGATGGATTGATAAAGTTAATGCAGACTTGAACGAACTTGACTTAAATGAACATCAAGCTGAAGACTACGAAGAACGGAGAAGACGGAGAAGACTCACAAGAGTAAAAGAGTAGTGATCAAATTAATTCGCTGATTCTTGTTGTGTTTTTATAACATGAATACTTCATTGTTTTTTCATAAAGAACAGCTCAAACGTATTGAATAAAAAAATGAAATAAAGAGCAGCGGACCCCGTACTAGGGAAGAACGCTAGGATAAAAAAAATGATAATAATAATAATAATAATAATAATAATAATAATAATAATAATAATAATAATAATAATAATAATAATATTAATAATAATAATAATAATAATAATAATAATAATAATAATAATAATAATAATAATAATAATAATAGTATGATAATATAATAATATATATAATAATATAATAATAATAATATTAATTATGGTCCGCCAGAAAATGCCAAAAAATCCTTTAAAATCAACATAAATTGTCTTTCAGTTTCAATATTTGAGTAACTGCTTGAGTTTTGATGGTTGATCAGAAAGCGTAAAAATTAGATGGACTCGCTCACTGAAATTCACATTCAATCGTCAGTTAATCTAGCACATACTTTCGATAGTCTAGAGACAGGGCGTCAGAAGTGAATGTTGTTTGAACATCTGACGTCATAAATAGTGAAGGTTGTTTAAAGATCATCAGAGAAGAGAAAATGACATAAACAGATATAAAAAGCAAAAGAAACTGCTGAAAACCGGATAAAAACGCTGCAATGAGGCTTGAAATCTTTCATTTGGCGGCTTTTCAAAGTGCAAGTTTTCGCTTTAGGACCAGCAATTCGTAACACGGGGCTTTGATTTTTGATGCGTCCTTTAAATTTTTACCCCGCACTGACATTCCTGTTTCCTGGGACGTTGTTTGGATTGTTGCGCTTATTCTGCTGAGCAACAATCGCCCAAGCTGAAAAAAATCGATGCGAAAGCACTGAAACAGAACAAGGTAAAGAAAAAACGCACTTTTTACGATTTTTCGCAAAAAATTCCACAATAATCGAAGAGATAAGAGCTGGGTGGTTGTCTGCATTATGAATAGAAGCAAGATCTATAGAATGCACGAAAAAACCGCGTAGAAAGAGGTAAACTAGAAGAAAAACACGAGATTTTCGAAGACAAGGTTTTTGCCGGATTTCTCGTTCAAATTAAAAAAATATGGCTTTGGGACGTTGTCAAGCTGAATGTAGAGATCAAGAGCTTCAAAACGATATATAGCTTGTCAAAATTGAGTTTGAAACAGCGGAGAAAAGGGTACCAGAGCCAAATGCCCCGCGCCCCGCGTTTGGGGTAACGAGGTAGCGCGCAGCGCGCGGAGACGCAGACGAGCAGCGGAGCCAGACCAGAGCCGACGGGGCATTTGGCTCTGGTCGTAGATCTCCGCGGGGTCTCAACGAAACCCTGCAACATTATACAGGGTGTCCCAGAAAAATGTATCGAACGTTTGATCGTTAATATCTCTCTTCTGAAGAAGTCTTTTTTCTTGCTTCAAGTATCAATCTGTAGAGCTGGCTTCAACTTAGATTTGCATTATAGAACGAGTCACTCATTTCTCTTCATTACTGTAGGATTACGGTAGAAACTTCAAAGAGAGTTTTAAGCAATGAAAGGCCATATTTTGCCTTAGAAAGGAAACAAAACAGCCTGAAAGCTTTTACGTAGGCTAATTAGAGTTGCTGATTATAATTGTAAAGTTCCCAACTTATTATGATGCTTCATTGAAGAGTTATGCCAGGTAAGAAGTAGCGGCATTTTTTCAATGTTCCTAAAAAGTGCGATTACAACGTTTGAAAAGCTTCGTAACCTTGTGAGTAGTTGAGTATTGAACTCAGCGTCCATAAAAACGCTATTACACAAGTTTTCACAATTTTTTGAAAAATTTTGAGACGGCAGCTTTTTCTATATTGACACCATATGTTTCAAGTTTCTACCGTAATCCTACAGTAATGAAGAGAGATGAGTGATTCGTTCTATAATGCAAATCTAAGTTGAAGCCAGCTCTACAAAACGGTACTTGAAGCAAGGCAAAAGACTTCTTGGGAAGAGAGATATTAAAGATCAAACGTTCGATACATTTTTTGGGACACCCTGTATATCATTCTGACCGTCATGACACGACGAGGAGAACAGACAACGTCCCAAGCTTTAAAATTCACTCACTAACGAGATAGACCAGCATTTTTGTGCGCGACTCTCTGCGCACATTTGAGCGCAGTTTTTCGTTTTAATTCAACTCCACGAGCTTCCCCAAACTTCTGGAACTCAATTTTGGTCAAGTAAGAGGCTAACTGAGAAACGTTGTCCTGAATTTTGAGGAAAGTTTCACAGAAAATCTCTTCACAGCATAAAAAAAGGCTTTGAAAAGGCAATTTCTCGGTTTCACTAAGATATTCTTCAGATATTCTCTCCTATATTCGGTTTATTCGCATTCGTTCTGATATAGTCTGGATTATAGCATCCGGGGCGAAGCCCCGGATGACTTCTTTTTTTTCGAGTGAAGGTTGTCTCCTCTCATGGCCCTCAAAGTGAAGGTTACCAGAGTACATGGCTCTATGTATCGAGGGTATGGCTCGAACTGAGCGCTGTGCTGCAACTGTTTCCGGACTTCGGGATCAGTATGAACGCAGTCTTAAAGCCACCAGTACAAAACTCTTCGCTATGTCCAGCACTCGTACAGCGAACTCAGATAATGCACTTCCAAAAACTGTTATCTTCCATTCGGAGTTGTCTATCACGTTATTAAGCTCAAACTTCTTCGACGTCAATTCGTATGTTCCTCCTCCATTTGTAGGAAACAAAGGTAACTGCAATAAGTAGTTCATAGGAGCAAGCATAGAAATTTGAAACTTGAACTCACAGATGTTAGTAATCACCTACAAAAGGTTGTATGTTCGAGTAGGAAAAAGGTCTGCGTCCCAAGAAGCGCTGAATACGATGCTGTATATCAACTGCTTCAGCGAAGGAATCGCAGGGAATTCAGTAACACATCGGTTATAGTACCATTTGTCCGTGGAGGCCAATGAGGCACTCGCCTGGAATGAGATAAACTATTGCATACTTTCATAGCTGATATAATTCTTCTGAATTTTGGTACGAACAATTCACGACGAAACGCCCAGTTTCCAGTTACAAGGTTCGTACTGACAACGCCAACATTCAAAAGTTAAAACCATATTACCCAGATGCTGTTCTTATATTGAAAGTTATCAAAGAAAAATCAGTTTCGAGTAGTCATTTTCAGAAAAAACGCGAGAACATACTAATTATTAGGTTGGTCCGAAAGTTCTGTCCCACCATTTTAAAAAAATCATAACTTCCTCTTATCATGATGTTTCTGCATAGCTAAAACCTTTTTGGAAAGAGCAATTCATGCACTTTTTAAAACTACCTTGGATGCTATCTACAAAGCTCTGAATGCGGAGATAAGATTGAAAAAAAGAAATCACTTCAAGTTCGGAATTTTTAAGCAGGCCCATTAAAAAATCCAAAACCGTGCCATAAAATCCAAAACAACCATTATCCTAGGTTTTCTGATGTTCTCTTTCTATATAAGCAAAACTCGCGCTGATCGGATTGTTTTTTGAAAAATTATGATTTTTTGAAAAAAATGTCAAAAAATCAATTTTCTTAAGGAAATGATTTTTGGCATTTTTTCTCGAAAATCATAACCTTTCTAACAAGGAAAGGAAGGTTGGTCGAAGTGGCCTTTTGAAAAGTTATGCATATTATCTTGTAGAGCTTGGAGCGCTGATTCCAAATCTGCCTTCGCTATCTGCTGCGGGCTTCTGGGCGAGGAGCTATGAAGGTTTTTGTGAGAAAAAATTGATTGCAAGATTAGTGTAAAATCAGTCGTAACATTTTTTTCTAGGGCTTAACTGGTAATCGGGTCACTCAGTGCAACAAATATTCTTGTTCAGAATATACCGACTCGCTGCTGCCTCATTTGAACGGTAGGAAAAGGCTACGACTGATTTTATAGTATTTTTGCACTGAAATTTTGCTCACAAAAACCTTCATAACTCCTTGCCCAGAAGCCAGCAGCAGATAACAAAGGTGGATTTGGAGTCAACGTTCCAAGCTCTACAAGCCAGTGTACATCCCATCTAAAAGGCCACTTCGACCAACCTTCCTCCCCTTGTAAGAAGGGCTCGATTAGCGCGAGTTTTGCTCATATAGAAAGAGAAGACCAGAAAACCTAGAATAATGGTTGTTTTGGATTTTATGGCACGGTTTTGGATTTTTTAACGGGCCTGCTTAAAAATTCCGAATTTGAGGTAATTTCCTTTTTTCAATCTTATCTCCGCATTCAGAGTTTTGTAGATAGCATCCAAGGTAGTTTTAAAAAGTGCATGAATTGCTCTTTCCAAAAAGGTTTTAGCTATGCAGAAACATCATGATAAGAGGAAGTTACGATTTTTTGTAAATATGGGACAGAACTTTCGGACCAACCTAATATCATGAAATTTTCGGCTAAAAGCATCGAAATCAGTAGGAGACTATTGAAATCAAAACACTGTGAGCGACACAAGAATAAAAAAGCAAAGAAATTGACGCATAGAGGGACCCATACAAAAATGAAGTAAAATGAGGTGCGGCGTCGCTTGGCGTTGACGCCAACACGCTCACTCGCTATGCGCCAGTTCGGGTCACTGGCGCACACGAACACTGCACATCGTGTAATCACACGATCTTGCGCACACATTGATACATCGTGGGGGCCTCGGCAGATCGTGTGCTGGTTCAAGATCGTGCAATTGCCAGATCTTGAACCAGCACACGATCCTGAGATTGATACATAGCACCCCAGATCGCATTTACGTTGCTAGGCAGTGCAAAACAAAACCTTGGAAAACCTATTGAACATGTAGATGATGTCAATTTTTTTGACACGTGCCAGAAGGTTGACACTCCTTCAAGTGAATTTGGGATCAAATATGGTACAAAGAAGCAATATCCTTCATGAAAACGTGGGTCCGGATAACGGAAAAGTACCCAAGAGTAGTCTGTCAAGATTAGCATTTCAAGACCTAGCGATGTTAAGCGAGCTAAATAGTCCAAAGTAGGTCAAATGAATGAGCCAAAGTAGGTCAAAACTCGAGTGGGTCACTGATAAAAGGTGGAAATATGTCACACGCTGGTATAAAAGAGAACAGCAAAGATCATCAAAAATTTAAAATCTCTCATTCATACAGCTTCCAATGGAAGCCTCAGGCTCAACAAGCATACATAAAATAACCATTACTTCTCCGGTTATCTTGAAAATTTGACTTTGTTGGGAGTATCTCAAAGATTGAAAAATGCATAATCCAGAACTCGTTACCTGTGCCCCCGCAGTTACACTTCAGCTAGCGAAGTCCCTGAAAATGCAGCCACGAAAATCCAAAAAGAAATTCCTCGTTTTAAATTATGGCAAAGGTACCTAAAGCGCGAAAATTTCCCTTCCAAATAACACTTCCAAATTTTTCTGAAGCCCTGCTTGAAAACGCCTAATGCCGAGTGATTTCGTTCAATGGATTGCACCTCTTGAACTTTCTCATACTTATTGATCGAGGTGCAAGAAAATCTCTCGGTAGAGGATTTCAGACAGCTAGCGTAATTACTCGACTATATGCGGCGGCGCTAACGTCAGTTCTGGCTGCTGGCTGCGGCAGCAGTCGGCTGCCTGGGCACCACTTGCTCGCACCCAACCTTCATATACAAGCTTGGTGACAGCGTGTTGCTTTCAAATTTTCTTGTAGATTTGACTAAAACAAAGTTTGTCTGAAAGTGCCTACTTCGTCAGAGCCAAGTATTCAGTCGTATAAATAGTCAGAGAAGAGTAATGACAATAAATTACTACTGTTTTCAAAACTGCTAAGCAATAAACAATGTTTTAGTTTTTCTTTGATAAATGCAAACATCATTTAGTCTGCTACGAAACTGTTTTCTAGGGCAAGAAGGACGGTCTCAGTGTGAGGAAAGGCAATCGTTGCATCTGCGTATGCAGCAAAAGTTGAAGCTCTGCAAAGCGCACTATGAAATTCGAATAAAGATTTGCTGGCAATAATGTACTTTGAGCTATTGCTCATCCCATATCTATTCGGCAAGCATTATTTGATCTGTACCAACAATCAGAAAGCAGAAGCTTTCTAAAATCTTAAAAAACTGTCATGTCGAAAATCTTCCGACCTTAGCCATTGAATAATGTATTTCGCCTTCTCTCAATACTAACAAAAAATAATCAACAATAGCTTTACTTAAGTTTATCATGACCTACATGAAGCTGACATATCAAAACATGCTGCTAAAATGAACTCTAAATACTTGTTGTTTCTAAGTGTAAATAATCCCATGTTTTAGTAAAGGCAAGCCTACAGACAAACGCTAAGCAATAAAAATCCTGTTAACAATCGTTGACATGAACATAGCCTTGACGTGTAGTAAAATGAACCTTCACCGCAGCACTGACTCAGGGCCCGGCAGGAGGTGGCATTTCAGAATTTTGAAAACGATATCCCCTTTGAAGCCAACATTTCTTACGACTTCCCCTTCGACCCTATTTTTGACCCCCGTAAGTTCCTGACAAACAGATATACACAAATAATAAGATGGGCGGCCTCAGCGCTTATTATACTCGTACTAGCTCGCTTTCCTGGTCCACGGGTCATCAAGGTTTCAGCTCAATGGGTTCATCCGCAAAGGAATCTATAAAAAAACATAGGGTCAAGATTTGCACAAACTTTGACGTTTATATATCTAAGATACTACTCATTTTTTAGTCAGCTGCGAAACTTTACAATTTACAATAACCGATTGCGATTGGAGCGCGCTTTCCGAGGCCGATCATAACGCTGTGAACCCTATTTGGGGCTGTATTGAAGCGGTGCCTTGGTGGTTTGGAAGCGGATTTGAACATATAGTAATACTCTCGACCTAGTCCACATTTATGTAAAGAAATCCGGGAAATTATGTGAAGGGAAGCAGGGAGCCACTCCAGGTGGCTCCCAGGAGGCGCGGGAGCCACCTAATTCCGAAAAACACACCATTTTTTAAATTCACATAAGTTTCTCATAAATCTTCATACTTTTTTTGTGCTCATTGTCCTCCAACTACACAGCAAATTTGGTGCCATATCGTTACTTGTGCATTGAAAACGAGCCTATGTTGTTATTTTCCTCTTACAAGAATTGCGATTTGAATTCCCGCCTGCGGGCAGGCTAGCGATTGGAGCAAAGAACCTTCACATTGCTGGAATCTAAGTTCATAGGACAGTAGCATCAACAACGAATGATGAATAAAGAAAGATATGTGCATTGTTTATCGGTAAACAAAGGGGAAGTCGTATTTTGGGGTCCGGGGCTCCTCCCCGGACCCCAAAATAAGACTTCCCCTTTGCTTTTTCGGGCCAAAAACAATATCCAGCTTGTGAAAGCGCCACCCCCGGCGGGCCCTGCACTGACTATGATCATTTCTCAGCTTGTTACGTTGTGACTAAATAACGATAAAAGATCAAATAAACGTTACTTGAAGAAGTGCAAATCTCAGTCGCCAACCAATAAAATTTTCCAAAATTCGTCACTTTTGCAGGAACGATCATGCATGTATAGGCCGTCCGCGCTGCGCGCGGAGAGCAAGGCTGTTGCGTACATCGAAGGCAGTTCACGACTGGAAGAAGCGCAGAGAAAAACAGACGGCGAGAGTGTACGAGGAAAGACGAGTGACGCGCAATACACACCTTGCGCACTCTCCGCGCCCTGCGCGGACGGCCTATACCAGAGACTGAGAAAATTTTATAATAAAAAGTTCCAAATTATCATGCGCTTCTACAGAATGAATGAGACCGTTTACCGTTTTAAGATATCAGTCATGATTCTGCTGGCAATTACAAGCACAAAAAGAATTGAAGACCGTAGTAATCCCTTTGTTAGTTCACCTCCTCTTGAGCGGTCCTCATTTGAATAGCGGCCTCAGACCAGCATCAGTGAGCTATAGATATGAATGCTGACTGCTCGGTAGACGCGATGAGTGCGCGTTCCCTAGAATTAAAGAGGTACTGTTTGTGCAGGTGTGGTGAAAAGAAACGATTAAAATGCAACCGGGCGGTAGTATCAACTGTGGTTTAAATCCAGTTGACGGAACCATTCTTGCTGCATGGCCGCACCGTCTTTGGTAGCGGGGACTATCGCGAAATCGGCAACTTACGGTACCTTTGTAAGATTGTTCCAAAACGCTGCTTTTACAGAAGTCAGGTGAGATCAGAGCGGCACTTGCGAGGCCATTCACTGTCAGCGCGTGTTGCAATTTATGACGTGTGGGAGCAGCGGCTCGTAATTAGGGGATTCGCGCCATGCGGGCGGTCCTGCTAAAACACTAGGGTACAAACGGTCGACAAAGGCGGTCTTTGATGACCGTACATCGTACGCACTAACGAGCGCTTCTTATTATCGCTGGCAGCCCACATGGCGCGAGTCCCTGAGTAAGTTCATTTTCTTAACTCAGGCCCTCAGTTCAGACAATCTGATTGTAAGCCGACGCGGAGTTTACTACGGGTCTGAGACTCACAAACAATCACCATCATAAGCAGGCGTATAAGGAAAAGAAAGAGCCCTCAGAGCGAAGAGATATATTAGTTAAAACTTTGACTGCTTACTAGTTGAGCTGTAAGGCTTGTTTACACTTGAGTCAAGATTCCGATGATGTCACCAAATCCGCAATCAATCTTTCCAGCCTTACAGAAGATAGTTGTAAGCGTAAATTTCACAATTTTTAAACGAAGATATTGCTCGCTGAAGTTGGAGTATTGCTTTTGAGACAAGATGATTATCATAATGGTTTTGAAAGGAGTCATTTCAATGATTTAGGTGTTGGAAGAAAAATACTTTCTAGGTCAATTGCGAACAGGTTTTTCAAAAATTCTCAAAAGTATTCTTGAAGTACAATCACCGAAAAATTTTGTTTCTGTTGAGGTTCAGAAATTTCAGCAAGTGCAATTTTTGTATGAGTGATCACTTAAATGACCATTGGAAGTTTTGTAGAATTTCCCGAAAGAACCGACCGGAGTGACAAAATTTTCTTAAATTGACTTGAAATTTGCTAGGTCACGATTTATGCGGGTTGACGTTCATCTGATTAGGTTGCCAAAAAAATACTGTCGCTTTCTTTGCTCGTTTTTTGTATGGTACGGTAACCAGCCTAAGTTTGCTCTATCAAGCAATACCCCAACAACAGGTATTGCTTGATAGAGCAAAATTAAGTTTAACAGTTCAAGTGAATTCAAAGTTCAAGATCTAAGAAGTTCTAAGTGCCCAAAAGATTGAAGGAATCGGAACTCCGTCCAAAAACTTCTTACGAATCTTCCACTCCCACTCCTATCGACAGACATTTGTATTACTCCTGCTATACTTTCTTGCTGACTAGATACCGAGAACTTGTAAATTTTGATGTTTCGCAAAGCAATACTGGACCGTTTTGGCCTACGTAATTCTATAGGTGTTTAGAACTACTTATATTAAAAGGCCATCACTGCTTTGAGAAAACACGAAAATTCTCAGTTTTTTCTGTGAGTCCCTAGACAGCGAAAAAATACAGCATCTGTATCAAGTATCTGGTGTCAATTTAGATGTGTGCGTGTTGAAATTCTGTAGGAAGATTTTGGACGAAGATCCTTTTTTGACTAAACCAGCATTTCGGACTTTTCGATTGTGGTTAACGTCACATGGAACAAACTTGGTGAGGAGATGTTAATATCGGCTTGTAGAGCTTGCTTACCACTCATGCGATCTTGAGATTTGCCTGGTTACGGTACCATAGAAAGGCAAATAAAAAGCGACCTTTTTTCTTGGCAACCTAGTAGAAGTTTGCTTTGCTCTATCAAACAATGCACTACTGGTACAATGTCTCGGTAGCATGAAGTCCATAGCGTCTATCTTTTCTTCCCTATTTCATATATTTATGTTCTTGCAAAAACACACATTACCAAGAAAACTTGTCATAGGTTTGCGTTGCTCTATTACTTCGCCGTGGGACAGGCAAATCCGTTAAGCAGCAAGATTCGCAAGTCCAAGTGCGCAGAAAGCTAGTAAAGGCGTCCACATCACAGTGTTTCTTCGTCTTTTTGGTTATGCAGTAGGATGGGAGCTAACAAGCATCCACTCTAGGTTCACACCATTCCTAGAAGCGAGCTAGTGGTTATCCCATTCTTGAAATCGCGACATTAAAAAAGTTGCCTTCTCATCCTACTTAGGTGCTTCCAAAGAACCGCATGCATTATCGCACTGAGGGGAGGAACGCAGCTTACAAGAAAGCTTTGTAAACTGAAGCTCTGAACATCTAATTTTCTCGCTGTCTATCCGTACGCATTTGTTTCTGCTGCCGTTCAATATAATAATATTGAAAAATAGCGAGACGTTGTACAAGCTGCATTTCACCTGTTTGTATAAACAGCAAACGGCGTTCTTCTTCAAAATCATTTTTCGTTCATCTTTTGGTTAGAGTCGACGAAAACATGCCAAAGTTTCACTTATTATCTTCCGGAACATGGTAAGCCTGCTTTTTATAACAACAAATGATGTACTAAAGTCATGAAGTTTGCGATGAGCCACAAGTCAAAAATTAAGATTTAGAAAAAAGTCGATAATTCATCAGCTTTTGCCAGCAACATGCATAGCACGGTGAAGAAGATAATCAGTATAACTTTATGGTAATCTCTTAGGTGTCAAAGGGAAAATGAATTTGAAGAAAGGCGGTTGACCGTGAAGACCATCAGGGGATTATAGATAAAGCTGGAAAATGGGTTTGCACAACTTCTTGCTCCTGTTCATTATGTTTCTAGCAAAGTGTAGTAAAAACACTTGCAGATAGAGAGGCAGCAAAAATCCAGACGTCCAGAACTTCAGAATACAAAGCTTTTGAGCTGTATTCCCCTCCTGAGAGAGGATGTAAATGCATGCGGCCCTAAGATCCATACGCTGAATTCCTTTGGCGAGTGGAGCGGCGTCCCCCGTTACGGAGAGGCCGCGAGCGAATGCTGTTTTTTTGTCGGGCGCCGCCCCCGTGCCGCAGGGATCTTATTGTTAGTGCACAGGGCTCAAGAGTATGCATTAGCTTCGGGTTTTTGAAAGTTTTAAGCTTCAAAGAACTTTGATTTCTGCTGCACTCAGCTCATCTGCAATTGTTTTGAATTTCGATTTCTAATATTAGCAAAACGTGCAATAAACTCCTCGTCTCGTCTATATGTAAGTCCCCAGCGCAAAGGTGGTAAAACCTTTTGAGCGTACAGAACAATCAGGTATGAAAAAATGGTCTTGCTTCGGCCAGCTCGACGTCTAGTTATTCCTTTTGAGTTGCTGTCAAGCTTCTCAACAAGCGGAAATGTATCAACACTGTGTATTAGCTCTAATTCTTCATCCTCGAAATCATTCAATGGAGGAACGCCAGCAGTGAAAGATTAGTTAGATCAGCTTTAGTATGTACATGTAGAATTGAAGTGGAGTAAATTCTGATTTTTTCGCAAAAAAAGGAATTTACGTTCAACGTGCAATAAGTCTTAGCTCTATCAGATCCTCATTGAAGCTGTGGATGTACAAGACTGCAGGAAAGTAAGTGCACATATACAATACCAGAAGTGGATTTCTATCCCGGCCAACCTTGGTATGGCCTTCTTGAACAGTTTATTGTTCCCTTTAGCTAAAAACCATGGAATTAGAACTTGCTTTGCTCAAAACTTATAGGCCTATCGCGCTTTCTTCATTTCGCAAAAAAATTAAGTATTTTTTAGTAAGAGTAATTGTCATTTTCTGGTACCGCATCATCGTGAGCCAACCATTACGTTTGATGCTTTACCTTTTTTCGTTTTGGGAAAACATCAAGGAATGGGAAACCAGATGGCACAATTGTCTTTTTCAAGTTGTTAGGCTAGTATGATACAAAGAACATGAAAAAGAATAATTCGCCGCGAGTGAAAATTTAATGCCATTTATGAGAGTGTATTTGAAGACGATGTACGTTACGAAAAGTAGACTGTAGCTCTGCAGAAGTGGCGGTCCGAGAAATTTGTTCCGCAGAGGGGGGAGAGAATGCCAGAACTTTTGATTTTTTTCGCAAAATTTGTATAAATCAGAAGAAAATTCGAAAATTTTTCCGACTTTTGAAAGTAAACCAACTTACTTGCACCCTTTTATAACCCACGTAGGCTTTTCGAAAAATTTTGTCGATGGAAGGGGGAAGGTCTCGGTCTAAAACTGCTACGTAGCTAAATATTGCACAACTTCCAAGCGGACCAAGTATTTGAAAATGCTAGAGGTAATTGGAGTATTCATCAGTAGGCCTACCAGATTTTGCAGACTTCAAAAAGGAGAGGAGAGTTTTGGCACAGAGAATGCATGAGGATTGCCTCTTACAAATATAATAATCTTTATTCTTTCGCTTTTTTGTAAGCTTTGAGAGGTGGATTTAGGAATTGTTTCAGAGGTGGAGCTGAATGTTAAGATGCTGATTGCGATAATCTTAAATATTTGAGTCGTTCCGAAAATAGTGTCGCTTTTCTTTAGATGTACGCCACATCTCGTGGAACAAAGATTTGTAAGGGATCTTAATAGCATTCGATGCAGCATTTCATTCTCTTTTTGATACGAAGCAGTTGCATAATATGAGATAATCCTTGAAAAGTCACCAAAATTTGCGACCCATGCTTTTTGAAAAAGTCAAGTTTCACAGTTTTTATATTTTTTATAGCAACGGTCCAGGTTGGATAGAGTAAACTTTAGAGGAAAGAGCACAGATTTTTTTCTTTTTTCCTTAGCTCGGCATAATTTTTGTATAAATTTTTTATTGGAACCACCAAGTTTGCAGGCTTGTCTTAAACACAAATGCATTAAATACCAATAAATTATTGGGTTTCGAAACCTACGGAGATGGATTATTGTTGACACTAATTTTACAAAGCAAATGAGAATTTACGCTTTAGATTAGCAACTGTCGAAAATTCCGGGTACAGGCTGGGGTGCCTTGAAGAACCTGAATTACGAAGATTTTATGC